AGGGCCTCTTTAGGGTTCATCTCAGACTCAAGTAACATGTCAAGAGCTTAAATGAGAGTTTAGACCAAAATTAAGAGCCAAAGGCTGGTGCCAGTGTGGCCGTCACAGAGGCTTTCTGTAGGACGATGCAGGAACCCCTCAATAGAGGCTGAATAGCAGCTACACCTAGGGTGTCTCATGTGCCATATCTTATCTCACCCTCCCAACTTTCCTCACAGTGTAGACATCATTGTCCCCATTTAATAGATGAGTAGATGGAGGCCCAAAGTCTCAGAGCATGGGCAGAGCCTCACTGGAGGCCTTTCTGCTCAGGGCTGCCCTCTACTCATTCTGATACGCTGGAGCCACACAGTGCTCAGTCCCTCATTCTGCCAGGCTCGAGATGAATCTCTGAGGAACCGTTGGGCTCTTCACACTGGGTTCTTCTGTGATCGAGTGATGGGGGCTGTGGCTTTATTGACCATGAAAACTCCCTATATTTTTATGCCTTAAGCTGTAAAGTGCATCGAAAGTAAACCACTCCGTAGTGCATAAAATCGGCCCGTTTTAAGCCACAGCATATTAACCAGCTAATGGCAGACCAAAGGGCGTTTTTATCTTTTGATTATTACATTAATCTTGCATTAAAATTATCTATGTGATTATCACAAAGTACTGAAGATAATAAATTTCGGAAATAGTTGGCTTGTTAAGGACCATTTTAAAATGTTTTTGTCAAATTAAACATGCCAAAAATACACTGCAAACACTGGTCCGCTGAGTACAGACGGTATAAGGCAAAGATGGCATTTACCAAGTAGAGACTGCCTCCTGCCATCCCCACACCTTGTCCACACTGTCCCAGATCACGCTCCCCAGCCTACATCCTGATTTATGGCTCTCAGCTGGTAACTTGGCAAGGCTGTGGCCGAATGAGGCAGGCCTTCTGTACCCGTGCGCTAGCCTGTGCTTCCCACTGTTGATGACTAGCACAGAAAGTGTGGAGGGACATTGTCAGAGACTCGGTCTGTGCAGCTGCCCTCCTCCAGAGCCCTCAGCTGCCTTCTCCAGCCCGAGATTCAGCTTTCGAGCCAGGACTTTGAAAAGTATGAGAGTGAAAGAATTTATGTTTTCACAAAAAGCCCAGGCAGAAGACAGAGAGCCGTGAAGGAAACCATGTCCGAAGGGGCACAGGTGGCCCTGAGAAAACACACACTCCAAACGGAAGTCCACCCTGACTTCCGACCTCAGCCCTCTGCAGCCTCTCAGCCTCTCCTTTCTTACTGGCTCTGGCTGGTGGGGTGCAGTGGACATTGGAGGGAGTCCCATGCCAGGCTGTCAGGAGGCTGAAGGGGAGCTTTGTTGTGACGTCACCCACCACATTTTTCAGATGTGGAGGCCAGGGGGGGTCATGTGACAACCAGGGCTGTAGAGCTGGCTGGACGAAGCTGGGAGTGGGGCGTTCTGGGAGGCAGCCCACACCACGTGACTGAGCAGCCTGCACTGGCCTCCTGTCCACTGTAAAGCAAGGGCCTCATGCTGGCCTGCCGGGCTGCAGTGGCAGAAGCAGCTAGTCCAGGGTCACCAGCCCAAAGCAGGTCCCTTCCACCCCATGCTCTGGCCTGGGTGAATAGCCGGTGCTGCCAAGTGACAGCCATGTCCTCTTGCTCTCTAGGTCAACTACATCCTGGAGTCACGAGCGAGCACTGCCCGGGCTGACTATTTTGCTCAAAAACAAAGAAAACTGAACAGACGTACAAGCTTCAGCTTCCAGAAGGAGAAGAAATCAGGGCAGCAGTGACACTGGCCTCCAATCTGTTGCCACAGGCCAGCTTGTCTGCAGGGCCAGGTGCCCAGAGTCCACCTTCATCCTGCAGTGCCTGAGCTCCCAGGCATAGGGCTGCTGGGCTCTAGGGGGAGGGAGGTGGAGAGGTAGGGGGTGCCCTACTCTGGAGTCCGGGGACATTGCCATTGGACTGAAACCTGGCAATGGCTTTCAGTAGCAATGCCCCGGAGCCAGACCGCCTCCTAGAGGAGCCCCGCCGTGCTCGCCGCCTGGCAGTACCACCCAGGATGTATATAGCCATGCCAGATATCTCCTTGCAACTTGATCACATTTCTTAAAGCAGACAAGGAACAAAAATGTACATTTCTTTTTTTCCTTTTAATAAACAGGTGTACTCTTTATCATGGTTGGTATGATGGACCATTTTTGGGGGGCAGAGGATTGACTATATTATCTTCTTTAAAATCTGTTCCTGTATTGAACAGGCAGGTTGCAAAAGCTGTGGTTGGAGTTCTCAGAAGCAATGTTTAGGGTTTAGCCAGTAGTTAACTATGCCATTTGTTTAAATGAGTTCATTTGCTTTGAGAATAGCATCTTACAGAAGTTAGGAACGAGGGCCGTGCGTGCGTGCGTGCCTATCATTTTCCCCTTCAAAGGCCTTCTCAACATGCCAGCGCCTGTGACCTGAGAGACAGGTGCTGGTAGGATAGTATGACAGACAGTGTGTCTCCAGGTACTGCGTTCCTAGCCAGAGTGGTCTCTCATTTCCTCAAAACAAGTATAAGACGGTCAACCTGAATCCAGAAGAGTCTGCCTCCCTGGCTCTGGAGCCTGTTTCCTACCCTCTTCCCGGTGCCTGCTGAGAGAGTTGTGTTGGGGAAAGGGGAGTAGAGGGGAGCCCATGTCCTTGCACCCAAAGCCCTGAGCAGAAAAGGCAAGGTACCCAGCACCCTGACACCACACCTCTGACTACACCAGATGCCTCTGCAGACCTCACCATGGTCCCTCCTGTGACAGCATCTTCTCATACTGTCCTGGGCCAGTGCCGTGGGCTGATGTCTCAAACACCTCTGTTTAAAACATTTTTTAAATCATTGTGTTTAAGCATCTCAGAGTCAAGTGTGTTTCCTTGCAAAGGGGTCATCTGAATGAATGTCTCTCTTATTCTGATCTGTTCAGACAGCAGGGGCACCCTTTTCTAATGTCTTCCATTCCTATCTCCCCAAAAAAGAAATATTATTTGTAGCTTGCTGTGTATTTGAATTTTTAGCAATTTTATATTTAGATATCTTTGAAATGTAAATGACTAATTTGGTCATTAAATCTTGTCATGTATTCAATATTAAAATACTAAAATAAAAGTCATAAATACCCTCTTGTATATTGCTTTGAATTCCTAAAGCCTTGAGTCCGCAATGCTGAGATGGCGATGCCATGGGTCTTCTGGGGTGATACACACTGGCAGTCGATTTCCCAGCCATGTTAAACTGTACACAAGCCACATCTGGTCCTCCCTTTACTCCAGGGACACTGGGATCGTGGGCTCTGCTCTCCACAACTGGTGGTATGTGGTTCTCAGCTGGCTAGGGTCTCTGGGGCTTGAGTCGCCTGATGTCCCAGTGCAGGTGCTACATTAAGTGAGCTGTGATCAGGGAATCTTAACTCCTCGGGGTCACTGTGAGCCAGCCTGCCGGTCATTGATGTTTGCTAGTCTTGAAGATGCTTCCCTGGCCTTGATGGGGGAGTCTGGCCAGCCCCATCTCAAGTTCATTCTTGTATAGCTGGTCTCTGAGCCTCTGCCAGCACCTCTGGCTACAGTGCTGACAGGCCCCATGCTTTCTCTGTTGGCCAATTTGGTCATCCTAACTCCCTGTCACCTGCTGGCTTCTGTGGCCAGAAGTCCTCCAGCTCAGGGGCATGGTTCACACCCAGCAATATGTGGCTGTGCTCTATTGTGTTCCTTTTCCCAGCTATGAGCTGGCAGCTGACCTACACATCTATGTCTTCATGGAGTCAAAAGTGGGAGGTAGCCCCACTGGCCATATCCCTGCCAGCTGCTTTTAGGGACTCACTATCTCCTCAGATCCACCCACATGCAGGCATACACACCTATACATAATTAAAAATAAATCTCTTAAAAAAAATTAAAAAGAGGAGGTCAGGTTCATGACAGGGGAACCCACAGAGACAGCTGACTTGAGCTCATGGGAGCTCAGACTCTGGAGCTAGGGAGCCTGCATGGGACCCACCTAGGCCCTCTGCATGTGGGTGACAGTTGTGTAACTTGGTCTGTTTGTGGGGTCCCGAGGAGTAGGATCAGGACCTGTCTCTGGCTCATGAGCTGGCTTTTTGGAACCTATTTCCCATGCTGGGATACCTCACCCAGCCATGATGCAGGGAGAGGAGCTTGGTCTTGCCTCAACTTGATATGCCAAGTTTTGTCGACTCCCATGGGAGGCCTGCCCCTTTCTGAAAGGAGGAGGAGTGAATGGGGAGAATAGACAGGAGGTGGGGGGGGAGAGGAAGGAGGGGAAACTGTGGTTGGTATGTAAAATAAATGAAAAAATTGAATATAAATAAATAAGAATGGGCTGGGCTCCTTGTGCTAACAGACTGCACCCAAACTTGAGTGTCCATCAAAGCTGTGTAATTCAGTCATGGGTCCAGCTTCCTCGGGCTGTCACAAAGGCCAGGGCTGGGAAAGGAGGGCTGGAGGATGGGACACTGTCCACTTCCACTCACATTCTTCCACCCAGGCTCACCAGATGACACACTCCAGGGAGCCTAGGAAGGGTAGCCACCGAGGATGGACAGTCACACGCGTACTTCGCCAGTGTCCCCCTTCTCTGGCCACTCCAGGGGCACCTTGCCTACAACTGAACTTTTCCTTTTCATGCAGACTAGCAGCCTCTCGCCTTCAGAGCCATCCAAACAAGCAGAGCCATGCCGTCAGGATTTAGTGAGCACTGTGTGTTCTCTGGTCCCCTGAAATAAATATGTGACTATTCAGGTTAACACTCATCCACGTAAGGGGCTGGAGAGATGGCTCAACAGTTAAGAACACTGGCTGTTCTTTCAAAGGACCCCAGGTTCAATTGCCAGCACCCACATGGTAACTCACAAGTGTCTGTAACTCCAGTTCCAGGGGATCTTGTGCCCTCTTCTGGCCTCCATGGGCATCAGGCACACGTGTGGTGCACAGACATCCATGTAGACAAAACACTGCACACATAAATAACAGGGAAACATTTTTATACCACCACCATCCAGATATCCTACAATCATGTCATGATGAGAGCCATATCCCACACAGGGGACAGGAGCTATCCTTGGAAATTTTTGAAAAAAAAAAAATTTTGTTTTTTTTGTTTTTTTGGGACAAGATTTTTCTGTATATCTCTGGCTGTCCTGGAACTCACTCTGTAGACCAGCTAGCCTCAAACTCACAGAGATCCTCCTGCCTCTGCCTCCCATGTGCTGGGATTAAAGGTGTGCGCCACCACCACCCAGCTTGAAAATATTTTTATTACATTGTATTGTCTTATTTTCTGTGTGGCAGGCACACACATGTGGAGGTCAGAGGACAACTGTAGGAGTTGGTTCTCTCCTTAAACCATGTGAGTCCTGGGATCAAATTCAGGTCATCAAGCTTGACAGAAAGGGCCTTTACCCACGGAGCCATCTTACCAACCCTGCCTTGAAGATCTCGACCAGTGCCCACCCCTGCCTGCATTTCAGAGTCTATAGACTCATTTCTATTTCACAAATCTTGGCCACCCCAGGCCAAGCTCTCCCCCACTTTACAGATGGAGAAAAGAAAGCCACTTGGGGTCCTGTCCGCCTTTGCTTTCTGTTGCTGTGGTAAACACTGTGACCAAAAGCAACTTGACGAAAGGGTTTGTTCAACTTACAGTTCCGTGTCACAGTCCATCATGAGAGAAGCCAGAGCAGGGACCCCACTGGTAGGAACTGAAGCAGAGGCCACGGAAGAGTGCTGGTTACTGGCTTGCTCAACCTGCTTTCTTACAGCACCCAGGACCACCTGCCCAGGGCTGGCAGTGGGCTGGTCCATTCCACATCCATCATCAATCAAAAAATGCCCTGCAGGCTTGTCTGCAGTCCAGTGGGATGAGGGTAGAGCTTCAGTAGAAGGTCCTTCTTCCCAAGCGACTCTAGTCTGCAGCAAGCTGACAAAAACTAGGCAGCTCCTGTCCCCCTGGTGTCTCTGCGCCCCACACCTTCTCCAGCCCACTGATGAGGGCCAGACGGCAGGGAGTGTGGGGCTGGAGGGCCAAGGCTTGAATATTTGTTTCCATCGGGACTCGGCCGCCAGATGCGAAGACCACCAGGGAGTCGCCAGGCCAGTTCTCGGGCGCAATGGGATTATGTTTCAAGTGGCTCCAGCCTGTTCAGTGTGCAGTTAAACTCCTCTGACGGCAGGAAAGCTCCCATTGCATTGGCCGCCGCCGCTCACCTCCTGATTAGACAAACACAGGCTGAGGTCTGGAATGAAAAGTTAATGCACACATTTATTCATTTTTCTGACAAGTCACAATAGATTTTTAACTGCCAATGAGGAACCTCCCCGAGGTGCAGAGGCCGTGAGTGGCCATTTCCGCCTAACACCCTCTGCCAGCCGGCTCTCTCTTGAGGCCAGGGCACTGCCAGCTGTGCCCTCTCCTGCACACCACAGCAGCTGCCCACCCAGCCTCATGGAGGTGACCAGGAGGTAGCGGTGGCCTCTAGCATGGCAGCACAGCCCTACTCCTCTGCAGTCAGGGATCAGGACACCTGTCTTAATCTGCCTTGGCCTCTGTAAAATAAAAGCTGTGAGAGGTTGTCCTGGTGGTGGGGTTCGGCCTAAAGAAACCAGCTCTGTGAGGGAAAGAAGAAACTGCGCTCGGGGTCTTGCTCCAGCACCAGGGATCCAGCCAAGGAATCCACAGAGAATACTAACATCTATCTCCCTATACCCTGTGAGTCCAGGCCCAGGACCCAGCCTCCGACAAACATGACAGCTCCCCACCTTGAATACAGCGACGTGCACAGGCCTGCTGTGTGCAGTAGGGCAGGGGCCTGGTAGCCATGCGGCCCAGCCACACACTCCTGGAGAGCACACTGGCCACACCTCCCGCAGCAGCAGGGCCTCTCCTGCAGGGCAGCCTGGGGTGCAGCAAGGTCTGTACTTTTCCTCCAAGAGCCCTAGCACCTGGCCCTGCTCCCCTCCCTGTCACATCAGCTGAGCAGCCTCAGGCAGGCCTCATATCTTCACACATTCACTCCTGGGATCCGGGAGAAATACTGGAAAGCTAATTCTTTTTAAACAGATAAAATCTGTCTGTGTTACAGCCCCCAGCTTCCTGAAAGCTAAAAATATTTTAATGTCGTATTTCCATGCAAATTTTAGTTTAGAATTTAATACCCTTTTAACATATATTAAATTTTTAGCATTCTTCAAGCCCTTGACTGTGTTAAGAACTTAACTGATGTGTGTTGGAGGGAAAAAAAAAAAAAAAAGAAAACAGCTGGAAGAAGCTGTAAATTAAGAAAGTTCTAGAAGCAAGGTTACCACAAATCTTCATGCCCACCTCATTTGGGGTGTTATTCTTTTGGCTAGCCCCTAGCATGCTGGGGAGCTGTTGGAAGACTGCAGTCCCCACGGGGACATCAGCTGTGATTGGTGGCTTCCCTGGGGAGTGGAGGGTCCCCACACGAGGCGCTTCGAGGACAAGAGACTTGGCTTTGCGGCAACTACGCTGCCGGGCTCAGGTTTGCTGTGCCGTTTGCCTGCATGGGGCTCTTGACATGCTTGGCCGTGCCTGTCGCCTTGCCCAAGGTCATATGCAGGTGAAGACACAGGAAAGGAGAAGTTTGGGGGGGCGGCTGCAGAGAGTGGGGTAGCTGCCTTGTTCTGGGTTCAGGGTACAGTAGCATAGAGTCAAGGACAACGGTGCCTTTTTTTGGTTTAAGGAGCAGAGGAGACTTGGACCACAGGAGCCATAGACAGCTCCTGATTCCATTGACTCCAGACTATACGACGACCTGCCTGGACAGCAGGTGACCAGGGAGCAGGGTCTCCAGCCTGCCTCCTGAGAGCCCTGATGCCAGTCTGGCAGGGCACATCCCCTGAGGACAGGAAGCAGCTAAGTGCCCAGCCAGGTCCCTGGGAATCCAACATCTAAGCAAGGATGTGAGCAGTGCAGCCAGGCTCCAGGACCACACATGCCAGATGTACAGGGCAGAGATGCAGAAGCCGCAGCCAGCCTCAGCCAGCTGCAGCCAGCATCTTTATTATGATTCTTCATGCCCCAGGAGCCCCAGATCCTAAGAGACCCTTGACCGGGACCCAGAGATGGTTGCAAAGCCCGTGAATGGTCTGTGAGTTCTGGCTCTTGGTACAGTCCAGCAGCAGCCAGGAAGGGCCCTAGCCATTTCTCACCTAGCAAGAAGGTGAGAGATTGAACAGGCCCAGGTATGGGGTCTCTCTGAGGTACACTATGGCTGGGCTGCTCTAAGTCACCACACCAGGGTCCCTCTGAGGACCCATCTGTGAAACAGGGCAGAAGAGTTCAGGAGACAGTGCCCAGGCAGGCCCCAGAGCATTGGCCGCTGGCCCTAAACAAAGCCTTCATTGCAAAGGGCTTGCCTGGCCATCTGTGCAAGTCACCCTAGCTGAAACAGGAAAGGCTGAAGATAAGGCTAGGGTACGCTCGAGCGCCTGCCTACTGTGCATGAAGCCCTGGGTTCAATCCCAGTGATAGGGAAACCTGTTTGGATGGTACACAAATGGTATCCCAGCACTCAGGAGAGGAGAGGCGGAGTTTAAGGTAAGCCTCAGCTACACAGAGTTCAAGCCAGAAAGATCTCGTGTGGAGACAGGAAGTGAGATGTCATGGACAGCTTGAGTTCCTGTCACTCCTGGACAGATATGGAACCTACAGGGATAACTCAGTTTGGGCTCCAACCAGCATCTCTGTGTCACGGGCTGTGAGTCGCTGCCACACTCTGGACAGCTCAGGCTCGAGGTCTCATGCCTGACCCATGCCTGGAGAACAGGGCCACTGGCTAAGCCTGAGCATTCTCCACCCACAAGGAGCACCTTCATTACCAGTGTCTCCTGGTGCCTGCCTGTTCCACTCCCATGAGAGCCCTGAGACAGGAATGATGTCACCTGATCCTGTTCTTAGGAACCAAGTCCTGGGGCTCCCATTCTCCATGTGCAGTTGACCCGCCTCTGTGACAGGCGGCTGCTGGACCTCTCTATACAGTAGGAGCTGAGGATCCTCCGGGTGAACATCTGAGTAGCACAGATTCCCAGAAAAGGAACCCCAAGGATATTCACCAAGAACATGACTAGAGGAAGGGGCCAAAGATCAGTGTGCAGAGGACCTTCAGGTGCTACAGAAAGGGGGTTCCTTCTGTTACCCCAAAATTGTTAGCTTCTTTCATGTCGAGAAGGGAGGTCTGCGCCTTGCCTGGGCCCCTGTGAGGAACCTTCTTCAGGGACGGGACTCCAATGTTTCTGGCAAACTTCCCCCTGGTGGCCACACCACACCCAGGCTCTGTGTCAGCCACATGTATCGCTGTGACCTCCCTCAGTGCCATTGTCTGCACCTGTGCCTATTCCCACCCCCGAGCAGGGTGTCCCCCACAAGGGACAAGGCAGTCCAGTACCCTCCCGGGCCAGCGTAAGTCGCACGCTCACCCCCAGCCAATCCCTGGTGTGAGGAAGTACACCTGTGACTGGCAGCTCTTCTAGGACAAGGGCAGGGCACCAGGGGACAGGAAGTGGATGTCTCTAAGTGTTTTAAACTGTTCTCAATTCCAAAGCAGCAGCTGCAACATAGGTCCGCAGTGACAGGTCCCAAAGAGGAAGGAGTTTGCCCAGAAGGGGGAGATCCTTGGAAATCTGCCCCTGGTTCTCACTCCAGTCAGGCAACCTGAGGGAAGAAGAGCTTACCCAGCAGCAGCCGGGTGGTGTGGTAGGAAGAGTGAGCATACACCTATGTGCATGTGTAGTCGCGTGACTTGTATCCATAGGGAAGGTTGGGCCACAGGCTTATGTATGTACTTGTGTGTGCCTGAGCTAAGAGTCAGTATGTATGTATTTATGTATGCCTATGATATATGAGTTTGTATGTGTAAGTTCATGTGTGTCTATATCCCTGTATGAACACGTGTGTCCATACATGTCTTTATATGCACTCTGTGCGTGTGTGTGTCTGTGTGTATGTGTGTACACATGTGTTGGTTCTAAAGCACGGGCAAGCCAGCCAGCCAAGCAGCCAAGCACCACCTGCACACCTGCACTGGGCCCCAGGCCGGCCGGCCGCCTTCTCTCAGAGGACATGTCCTGCTCTCTGAACAGCCCTCCTCTCAGCCAAGCAGCTGGCCACCATTTTGGCACACATTGACCTGTCACATCTGATTTGTGAAGTCATGTCTGCCAGGCCCACAGGAGCGTCCAGCTGGGCTCTTTCAGGTCAGGGAGTGTTTTCGTCTCTGGCTTTTCGGAGCGATGCAGAGCGAGCAGCCACTGCCTTGGTCAGCCGACCACACTCAGCCTCTGCCTTAGCCCTTCGTAGTGATGGGAAACTTCGGGCTGGAGAGTCCTTCTATCTTCCCAAGGTACACAGGGGCTGAGAGTAGACTGACCCAGGATTTGAACCAGCCTCTCTGTCCCTCCAGAACCTTGCTGTCCACAGCCTCCCTGCACGAATTAAGCAGGGCTATTACCAGCCAACACCATGCCCTCCTCCTCCTCCTCCAGGAAGCCTACCTGAGCTGACCCAGTCACCTCAGCCCCAGCGCCTGTCCACAGCCATGCAGGGTTTTCTGCAGGGTGACTCTGAACCCCGCAGTCCCTAGGAGCAGCCCTTAGAGCCAATGCTGGCAGTGGGACACGCGATATGATGTGCTGTTGGGTACTGTGAGGCTCCAGCTGAGCTAGTGTATAAGGGCCAAGCCACACTGTTTCCCTGAGGACGCCAGAGCCACCAGACCACCCAGATTCCCAAGCCCACAGTCACTCCTCTGTCGCTAATCTGCCTGTGAGCTCTGACTCCCAGAGGGAACATCCTACCCAAGTTCGGGGACAAGCAGAGGCTTAGGGAGAAACAGCATGATGTTAAAGGCTCCCAGAGAGATTCTGTGGCCCGGAGGTTTGCTGAACACTGTGGTGTGTGTGACTACAGGGTCCCTTCCTGCAGGGCTCCCAGAGCCTGTTTTGAGCTGTCAAGCCCTGCACTTCAGGAAAGGTGACAGAGAAACCTAATGAATGTCTGCCTACAAAGTGAAGCTCACAGCCAGCCTGAGGTGGTTAGGCCTCCAGAAGAGCAGTCGCCCTGGCCCAGGTGCCAGTAAGTATTTATAAGATAAATTGTGACCTTCTGCTGTCCCAACCTGGAACCAGATGGGGAAAGAAGAAAGCTGGACCCAGAGCCGTGGGGACAGGGCTAGCCACAGCCTGGACCCACTCTCTAGTTTCACAGGCTCTTTGTGGGGACAGGAGCCTTAATACATGTCACCAAGGTGACAGCAACATCAGCCAGGTGGCTTCACACTCAGTCAGGAGCCAAGATGAGCCAAGATGGCTGCCTCTCAGCTGCCATGTCGGGCCCAAAGGGGGCTGGAACTGAGGCAAGAGCCCCAGTATAACCAGATCCAAAACAAAAGTAATTGTTACGTTGCGTCCTGGCTCCAAATGGGGTAAGCCAAACCCCAGGAGAGCCCACATCTCCAAAGAATAGGATGGAGCTTGTCGACTATCCCTATGCCCCTGAGGATGCTGGGTAATTACTTCTCCCCTTTTGTCTTTCTGTTTGCTCTTAGCTCGACCACCAAGAAGCAGCTACAAAATCGGTTAAAGCTTCCAAAGTATGTTTCTCTCCAGAAATCTCTTACAAAAGGCAAAAGATTTACAAGATGTGAAAAGTAAAGCAGGATAATTGTTTTTGGAATGACCCCAATATTTTCACCCCGGCAACCCCAGCTGGGGATCTTGCCCCCATATTTACGATTCCTGGTCCTCTGCGCACTGCTGGGCGACCTTTTGAGCCCCCCTCTGAGAACCCCCAGTCCCTTATCGGGCCTGTAACTCACCCTGACGTTATCTCTCGGGAGGGTTTTATGCAGTTTAATTTAACTCCCCATCATTATTTCCCGGACTTCAAGGTTTTCTCTTTGGAAGTGCCCTTCCTGGGACAAGCATAATGTGTTTGCCATCAAACCCAATAAATATGTTTGTACGGGAGATGGGAACCACTGGGGAGAGGAGCGCAGCCTGAGAAGCAGCCCCAGCTCTCACCCCGTGTGCTCCAGGGCGGGTGAGCTTTTGTCCTTGAACCTGGTTGGGGGGTGGGGGAGGGCAGGCACCATATTCTCAGGCCGGTGGCAGAGCTGGCGAACAACATCAGATGCCGGACGGACGAACAGTTTCCTCCTTCCTGCTCTTCTCTGTCTTGGTTTTGTGGTGTGGTAGTCACTGGAGTTGTTAGTTCACAGCTCACTGGCCTGGAGCCCAAGCTGCCTCAAACCCACCGCCTCCTGCCTGCACCCCGAGAGCGAGCAAGCAAGCTGCAGCCACAGACCTGCAGCGATGCTGAGGCCCAGAAGGAGAACCAGACCCAAGCCGTGCTGCAGAGGGGAACCCTCCCAGCTGGATCCCCATGTTGCCTGAGCCGGCCGCTTCGGATCCCATCAACCTGCTGCACGGGGGGGGGGGGGGGGGGGGGGGGGGGGGCGGGCCCTCCCCGAGTTCCCTTCAAAGGAAGCTATGGCTCACAGTAGGGACCCAGCCGGAAGTCCAGAGGGCCAGTTTGGGTCCCTCTCAGGAGCCTTCTTCAGAGAGCGTGTGGCTCCAGTGGGAGCACACTACAGTTTCTTCCCAGTGTCTCCCCTCGAATTGCGGGCCTCAGCTTCCTCTCCTGCAAGATACCGGAAGGAAATTAGCTCTAAAACATTAGCCAGATGTAGGGGCTGGAGAGATGGCCCGGAGGTAGAGTGGGTTTTGCTCTTGAGTAGGACCCAAGTTCAATACCCAACACCCATATCACATCAGTGGTTCACACATGCCTGAGAGATCTGGTGCCTCCATGGGCACCTGCACATGTACACATACCCACACACAGACATTCACATCTACAGGATTAAAACTAATTCTTTAAGAAAATTAACCAAGAAGGGGTTGGGGATTTAGCTCAGTGGTAGAGCGCTTAAGGCCTTGGGTTCGGTCCTTAGCTCTGAAAGGAAAAAAAAAATTAACCAAGATATGGGGGCCCACCAGGCATTCCTATTTCCCATCCTGTGGCAGCTGCATGTGGTTTGGCACCTGCTACTGGAATGAGGGTGAGATTCCGTCCAGTTTGTGGGACCATCCTGCCTGAGCCATCTACTCCTCAACCCTGACCAAATGGCCCCAGAGCAGAACCCCCGTTGGCTGAGGCCTACAACAAAAGTCAAACCATGTTCTGGGGGCCGCCGAGTGGATGGCACCGAGCGATGTTGCTGTCCTCTTGGTGACATGTATTTTAATTAATTAAAAGAGGATGGAAGTGCCCAGAGCCCCAGAGAACAGGTTCCCTGCTGTGAGTGAGGACCAGGGTGGCCTCCGGCACTCCACAGGTGCCAGGGGCCTGGTAATGACCCTGTGTCCAAGATGCCAGTGAGCCAGAGATACATTGAGACCCCAGGGAGCCTCAGAGTCTTGGGTGCCCAGAGCAGGGCCTGCTGTCACCGTGTTTCCTGATGGGAACAGTGGGGCATTTGTCACTGCTGTGAGAAGTCCATATGGGTCATTGCTCTGTTATTATCTGGGGAATTCATGTCACTGAGTGCTTGAGTCCTTTAAAGATTTTGGAGATTCTACCAGTCCATTTTCTATGTCGTGGACTAGGGTACATCATTTGTGCGTGTGCGGTGTGCGTGTGTGTGTGTGTGTGTGTGTGTGTGTGTGTGTGTGTGTGTGTGTACATGTGAACATGAGTGTGAAGGTCAGAGGTCAACATCAGGCCATTTTTATTTATAATCCAACTTGCCTCCAACTTGCTACCACAGATCAAGTTTCCACCCTCTTAGCACCTCGCTGTGGGGACTCAATTTCAGCCTCACAAGGCTCTGAACCTTGTTGACAGCAAGGCTCTGCCTGTGTTTCCCCACTGGACCCTGAGCTTCCCTAATGCAGACACTGATGAGCCCCGCCACACCTGTACCTGAAACGCTGGCTATGCCGGGCCCAGCTGCATTATGCCCCTGACCAAAGACTCCAGGAGCCTCTGCCCACATGGATCAGTGGTAGAGCACCGGTCCGGCATGCTCAAGGCCCTAGACTCTGATTTGATTTGGGGCTATGGGGTCTCCTAGCACACCGGAAGCCCTGGAGTCCTCAGCACTGCGTAAGCCAGCTCTTTCAGAGGACGCTATAATCGGCCCTTTGGAGATGGAGGCATCTGGCGGGTCCACGTCAGCCTGAACGAAGATAAATCTGATTGACAGCCCAAAGGCACGTGTGGACAACTTATTAAAGCATGAGACTAGCTGACACACTGCACAGAGCACGTGTGGCCAGGAGAAAGAGCCTGAGGTCTCAACCCCACGTCCAGTTCAGGACTGAGGCTTCGGCAGCTTCGGCAGTCACATGTCACCAGAACATGAGGAGTTATTTTTGCTTCTTAGAACATGTTCTCAGTTGCCAGGCGGTGGTGGTGCACACTTTTAATCCCAGCACTCGGGAGGCAGAGGCAGGTGGATCTCTGTGAGTTCGAGGCCAACCTGGTCTACAGAGTGAGTTCCAGGACAGCCCAGGCTACGCAGGGAAACCTGATCTTGAAAAAAACAAACAAACAAAAAGAAGAACACTCTGTCAGCTTCCTATAGTTCTAAACATGCTGGATTAATACCTCCTCTTCTGAACCTGATGAGCCAATAGAATAAAATGAAATATTGAGGAGAAAGGACCATCAGAGATGTCCAAGATGAGGGCATGCTAACCCTGAGGCGTGGTAAGACAAAGATGGTGACCCTGACAGGAAGCCTGCCCGCCTGCCCGCCTGCCCGCCTGTCTGCCTGCCCGCCTGCCCGCCTGCCCGGCCACCTCTTACCCTCAGAGTCTGGCACAAAGAAGGCGTATAAAAAGCATGTGTTGGCTGAATGTACGATACGTGAATGGAAGAATGGGTGAGTCGGGGGAGAGCATATTGCTTCAGTTGGCTTCCTTGGATTGAATCCCCCAAAATGAGACAAAAAGCCACTGCTCTTCCCCCAAAAGGCCTGGGCTCTCCACTGTAGCCAGAGGTGGCCACTGCTGATCCCTTCCCTGGTACCCAGCACCAAGAATCTGGCCTGTGAGTATCTGGCCATGCCCCTGCCATAGAGCTGGTGAAATCTGATGAGATCTCAGCCCTGGGAGAACAGAACTTCCAAATCCAGACACAATAAAAGATTCTCAGCTAAATAAAACGGCAGTGACTAGGGCCAGCAGGCCCTGTTGGATAGAAACCGAGAGGGCCAAGTGGCCCTCCCTGAGAGATTTATTCCCAGTGGTGGCTTCAGGCGGCCGGCCCAGCTGGCGCAATTAGACTTGGTCTCCCTCCCTCCATTTGGGGGAGGGGAGTACATTTTTATTTTATCTTCATTGAGCTAGAACAGCAAAGATGGTGTGAACCCACATTAATTCTGAAACAAATTATTACGGCTTGATCTGGGATTCCGGGAACACCGCCCCACACCGCAGCCCCATCTGCCCCTCCCCTCAGTCAGACCATCCGTTGCCTCTGGAAGTCCATGGCCAGGCCAGCCAGGCCCCATTGAATGTAAAGGCCCAGAATGGATCAAGCCCAGAGCCAATGGAGCCGCGGCCTAGTGGCTATCTGCTACCTCCATATTCTGTTTCCTCCCTGCCCACGTGCATACAGAATGTCCAAGGTCAAGTGCTGCCTCTCCACAACCTCAGCCTCCATCTGTCTTCTCCTCAGAGACCATGGTCCACTTGGGGCTTCTCAGAACATCAGTATCCTACCTGGGCTGGCTCAGGTGTGGCTGCACCTTGGGAGCCATAGGGCTCCCACCTCCCACAGACTTGGGGCAAGACCCAGAGTTGCCCTAGTCCGGGACTCTGTTCACTTCTCCCCTGAAAGCTTCACCTGCTGGTTCCTTTTCCTTCTGGAGCTGTGGCCCACAGCCGGCCTACCTGCCACGCAAAAGCCCCACCCTTCCTACCTCAGGCTGTGAATGGATGGCTATCTGTGTATTTGTGGGGCCTCTGCTCCCCACACCCCAGTCTATACCAACTCCTGCATATCCTGTCCTTGGAATCAAATAGTACTTACTCAGGGGCTGCTGAGACGGCTCAGTGGGCAAGAGTACTTGTGCAAGCATGCGGCCCTGAGCTCGAATCCTCAGCACCCGTGGCCATGTGCATGCCTGTGACCGCAGAGCTGTGAGGGATGGGGTGGGAAGATCACTAGGGCTTGTCGGTCACTTGTCTAAGTCTAGGCTTAGTGAGAGATTGGTCTCAACAAGGTGACAGAGCAGAACACCTGATGTCCTCTGGCCTCCACATACACACACGTGTGCACATGTACCACCTATATACATTTATAGTAACAATAATAATAAATACACACTTAGTGCCCAGCCCCAGTAGACATGGCCCCGTAGGAGCAGAGGGAACAGAGTTTGTCCTGCTCAGTGTGAGCCGGGGGCAAACAGTGGATGTTCAATAAATGACTATTGATGAAGGAGGGGAAATGTGAGTCCCCAACCGCTCCCAACCCTCAAACCCTCTCAGGTACCCCAGCGCTGGCCCAGCCAAGAATTGGATGCTTCCAAGAAGCTGGCAGAGTTGGGCCCCTCTTCCACCCCACCCCAGACCTCCCAGGAATGGGACGACTTACTGTGTCAGCAGTTTACAGGCAACAGGACAACCCAGGCTCCCAGCAAATAGGAGTCGCCATTCAGCCCCGTCCCCCAGTCATGGGAATTTTGCCAACTGGACAGCAAAGGCCAGAGTCTTGGAATGACCTTGGCTAGCAAGGACCCCTTCTTCAGTCCTGGCCTGACCCACCTTTCTTACCAGAGACCTGTTCCCCTCCCTGCCCAGGCCACAGCCCAGGCTAGACCTCACTGTCCTTGGACCTACTCTTTCACTGTCATTTATGGCAGGACAGGAGTGAGCCGGTCAGCTGTAATTGTGTATATCACCTTCCTGGGGCTGCACCTGGGTCCATCCCCCCACCCAGAGCCATACATCAGGGCCATGAGCCCCCCATCTTCTCACATCTGGGTCAGAATTCCTGGGGTGTAGCTGCCAACACAGCAGCTACACCATAGAGTCCAGCCCTCTCAAGACTGGGTGCTGTCTTTGGGGGTGGTGAGTGGGGTTCCTGGGGGCCCCTGAATGGGCCCTGAAAATGGGTAAACAGGGTCAAGTAATGGCTCACTTTCTAGGTACCAGCAAAGGGTGGGGAGTCCTACTGTCCCTGTCCTGAGATTCAGAATGTGTGGTGTGCAGGAGCCTCCTACAAAGGCAGAAAAACTGGTACAGAATCCAGTCTGTGTCCCTAACCACTGTGCCCCGGCCAGGGTCAGGGGTCCCAGAGTAACCTTGCTCACCCAGTGCAGGGCAAGCAGCCACTGGGGGGCTCACAAGTACTGGCTGGGTTCTGAGCAGGGCTGTCTGGACTTAAAAGCTGCCTAGGTGTGCCGGGCGGTGGTGGCGCACACCTTTAATCCCAGCACTCAGAGGCAGAGGCAGGAGGATCTCTGTGAGTTCCAGGCCAACCTGGTTCACAAAGTGAATTCTAGGACAGCCAGGGATGCACAGGGAAACCCTGTCTCGAAAAACAAAGCTAACAACAAAAAAGAAGCGGCTGCCTAGGTGATGGATAAAAAGACACCCAACTGACAAACCGGAAAATCCAGTTGTGGGAGAGTGATGGGGCTGGAGGGACACAGGCATACCATGGTCACCAGTGGCTTCAGCTTTGGTGGCCTGAGGATCTGCCATTGCAAGCCTCCAGTCCCCGCACGCAGGTGCCTAAGTGGGTGGCACCGGCTCTTGGAGACTACACCTCTGTCTGGCTCGGCTTAGCGATCTCCGACCTGGGTCCCCACTTAGCAGACAGTCTGTGGACTTTTGTGTCCTTGTACTGGGATGACCTGAGGCCCTCTCACCGGACACCTGCCACGCTGCCCTCCTGGGTCACCTCTAAGCTCGACCTCTCCCCACCCCCCGCGACACACACACACACACACACACACACACACACACACACAAGCTGGTCCTGGAGCCTGGGTCCCCTAGGCCTGGAAGCTGGAATGCCACTTTGGTGCTGGGGGACTTGAGCAGGTTCTGAGTCCAGGCTGTGGAGGGGATGCACGGCTTTCTCCAGTGTAATTCCGGGGTCAAGGGAGTGAGCCACCGCGGCAGGGCCCACGGACACTTGCCTCGCAGGAACTGAGACCTTCTCCCACTACAGATGACGGCAGGGCGGGGCACGGAGGGAGGCCGCGACACCACCGCCTGCAGCTCGGCGCGGGAACAAAGGAAGCACCGGGCGGCGGCCCTGCATCCCACGCGCGTCCCCGGCACCCACGCCCACGCCTGTCGTGCACACGCACCCCGAGTACTCGGGCTCACCACGCGGCCGGGGACCCCAACTCGGGCACACCGCCCCTTGCGCGAGTGGGGCCCGCCTTTAACACCAAGGCCCTGGAGCGGGCAGCTGCAGGGACAAGGAAGCTGTTCCAGGCTTTCCTCCACGTCCAATGCCCGTGCGTGGCTGGCTCTGGCAGGCCTGGGGTCAGCCCTAGTGCCCCAACTGACTCACGGTGTCCCGTGGACCCAGACGGTGGGGATGACCACGCCGGCGAGGAACAGCCGGCACTGGACCGCGAGGGAGCGCAAACTGCAGCCTTGGGGCGCCACCTACGGCCCAGTCTGGGTCGGCAAGCTTTCCGCCCAGCCAGCACGACTCCGGGTCTCCGGGTGTGGCTGTCTGTCTGTCTGTCTCTTCCTTCCCCCAGGGACGCCCTTTAGACCACGGCCTTGGTCTGGGGATGCCAGGGCAGACAGCCCACCGGGTCCTGCCTCCCCCCTTGAATCAGCTGCGGGCAAAGGGGTGAGCGCCAAGCTGTCCATAATCCGAACCTTCCCCTCCACCCCAAGGAGGTCCTGCCGGGGAAACTGAGGCCTGACTTGGAGTGTGGGTTGGGGAGAGGGACATGTGGATTCCTGGTACCACCCGGCACTGTCTTCTCCGCCCAACTCCTACCTCCTCTGCGTGCATCTGTACCCCACACTTAGCCCCATCCCAGGGTTTCTAAATAATCACACCAGGAAAAGCTAGCCCGTGGCCCCGGAAACACCAGCCACAAGTTCTGAGCAGGGCTCCGTTTTCTGGTGTTCTCCCACCAGCCGCTGCTGCCACCCGAAGCCAGCATGGCTCCCAAGGTTGTGGACACTCTTGGGTCAGGAGTCATGGGAGGGCAGAACCGGACAGCTCTGGCTTGAGCAGCACCTGAGCTGGGGTGGAGTCTCAGTTGGCCCACGGCCCACGGCCCACGGCCCACTGCCCACCGCCCACGGCCCACGGCCCACGGCCCACGGCCCACCGCCCACGGCCCACGGCCCACGGCCCACGGCCCACGGCCAGTACCTGAAGGCCAGGCTACTCTGAGCTTTCTGAGGGAGACCGAGTGACATGACGCCCCGTACCCCACCCTTGAGAAGTAACCTCTAACACACACACACACACACACACACACACACACACAAACACACACACACACACACACACACACACACACACACCAGAAGAAGGACAGTCACGTGGCTCAGAGCCTCCAAGTGTTCAACACACCAGAGTCTGGGCCCAGGTTATCTTCACCACGGGAGAAGAGCACCAGCTCATGGGTCAGTCCGCATGGTAAGGGTCACAATGGTAAGGGTCACTCCACGTGGTAAGGGTCACGTAGTAGGGGGCACTCCAGATGGTAGGGGGCACACTGATACACCCAGGGGCAAACCCAGAGGTCACTACTAAGACCTGGGGCTTGGGGGGAGTTCGGGGAGGGATCACAGCTGAGAGGATTCTCCAGAACTCACGAAGAGGTAGGTATCAGCAGGCCCTGAAGTTGGGAGTGGACCATCTCACTGGAAGGTGTGGACTGGCAAGGAGGTCAGCCAGCGTCATGTGGTGATAGTGAAGAGAGGGCTTGAACAGCAGGCAGGCCAGGGTTCAAGGCCAGGTTGCAGCGCGGCCTCCCACAGACAGCCTTTCTAAGCAGGTCAAGTGAAGGTGACCCTGCTGGGTGGGCTAGCACAGTGTGGGGCCCACAGGAGGTCTCCAGGGAAGACTGCTCTTCGGAAAAGTGGAGGAGAAGAGGTGGGGATGGTGGGGAGGTCGTGAGAGGTCACCTTGAGTGCCACTCTGAGGACAATGAGGAGCTATGGGGGGGACTGGACCTCACAAGGGTTATTTGGGTCTCAGAGGGGCCTGACCCTCGTCCTTGAGGAAGGCTCTCCCAACCGCACAGGTCTCACACTGGGGTCAGGCTCTAGGCTCACCTTCTCTGACCCTGTTGTGAGAGGCTCAGGACCCCTCCCCAAATCCAAGGCCGGACCTGCCTGAAAGGCGCTGCTTCCACACCAGGTTGACACAGAGGAGCCTCCCCGCCTCTCCCCCACTGCACAATCCTCCCCACACCCTGTACAGTCCCCGCCACAGAGAAAGGACAGTGGCACCACCATAATTTCTATTTCCTTCTAAATAGACATTCCCAGATCTGCTCCCACAGAACCAATTAAAGCACCTGCCGGGACCCGGCTTTGTCAGCAAATTACCTCAGGCTCCATGGCTCGGGAATAAATCTCAGGCAGATGAAGGGGATGAATCGAGAAGCTGGAGGCACCAGAGCAGGCAGGGGCAGCCCCAATGGCAGCCGTCCAGCCTGGACCCATTGCCCCACTTCGGCCAGAGCGTTCATTAACTAGACATGGGACAACCATGTCCGGTAGACCAGCGTGGAAAACGGCCCCTGTAAACAGTGGCCTGGATGTTGCCATCTCCTCGTCCCAAAGGCCAAGCTCCCCTGTGCCCCTTGGCCTCTACCCCACCAAGCAGTGAGAAACAGTTGCCCCTCTGCAGCAGAACCCAGGACAAGTCCTTCCTGCTTAGGCCTCCCTCCTGGACAAAGCTGAGGCCTGGAGCGGGGAGGATCTCAATCCAGTGTAGCCGCCAAGTTCTCAACCAGGCCAGGGGAGGAAAGGGCCTGGGTGGAGCTAGGTGGGTGGGGGTGAGTTGTCGCTAGAGTTTTCCTGCCTGGCCCACAGTCAGGACAAATCTCTCTCACCTGCCAGTCCCACAGCCTCTCAGACCCGACCAAGTAAACACAGAGACTTATATTGGTTACAAACTGTATGGCCGTGGCAGGCTTCTTGCTAACTGTTCTTATAGCTTAAATTAATCCATTTCCATAAATCTATACCTTGCCACGTTGCTCGTGGCTTACCGGCATCTTCACGTGCTGTTTGTCATTGTGGCGGCTGGCAGTGTCTCTGACTCAGCCTTCCATTTCCCAGCTTTATTCTCCTCCTTGTCCCGCCTATACTTCCTGCCTGGCCACGGGCCAATCAGTGATTTATTTATTGACCAATCAGAGTAATTTGACATACAGACCATCCCACAGCAGTGAGTGGGTGGGGTTGAGTGGGTGGGCAATGACTCCAACCCTGAGGGTAGGGCCTCCTAGGGGAATCTTAAAGGGTATTATTATTATTATTATTAATAAACCTAGAGCCAGGTACTGGGATGGTGAAACGCTGAAAGATCAGAGAAGCAGAACAAACCACAGCTAACCTCACTTTGCCAACTCCTCAGCCCATCCTGTTTCCTCAGACTGGAAGCTTCTGAGTCCTCATCCAAATGGATCTCAGCTGAACTGCTGCTAAAAGCCTAAAAGCTTAACCAGCTCTAGTTCCTGGTCCTCACACCTTATATACCTTCTGCTTCCTGCCATCACTTCCTGGGATTAAAGGCATGTGTCACCATACCTGGCTGTTTCCAGTGTGGCCTTGAACTCAGAGATCCAGATGGATCTCTGCCTCCCAAGTGATAGGATTTAAAGGTGTGTGCCACCATTTTCTGACCTCCATGTCTATTCTAGTGGCTGTTCTGTCCTCTGACCCCAGATAAGTTTATTAGGGTGCACAATATATTGGGGGACACAATATCACCACAGGAGCCCTCTTCATGCATAAATAGTTTCACCAGATACCAGTGGTACTCCCAAAGATAAAACAACCCTGACTCCTGTGCCATCTCTGTGGGAATCATGAAAACACACCCTTCTTGGAGGAAATTGTTCTAACTTTAGAAAATGTACCATGCCGGGCGGTGGTGGGCGCACGCCTTTAATCCCAGCACTCGGGAGCAGAGCCAGGCGGATCTCCTGTGAGTTCGAGGGCCAGCCTGGACTACCAAGTGAGTTCCAGGAAAAGGCGCAAAGCTACCCAGAGAAACCCTGTCTCGAAAAAACCAAAAAAAAAAAAAAAAAAAAAAAAGAAAATGTACCGATGCCTATGACCTGAACAGGGCCCCTAGGGCCAGTAGCTCTGTACTGCGCTCTAAAGGGGGCAAGCGCCTCCAGAGAGCGGGGCCAGCTGTGCCCCGCCCCAAACACTGAAGAGCCAGAGCTTCCAAAACGACCAACCACCGAGAAGGCTCCCTCAGTACGGACCATGCTCCCCAAAGGGGCTGGTGCCACCACTTCATCCTGTGAGCCCTTGCCCAACTCTACAGAAGGTGCAATGCAAGAAACTGAGGCAACCAGTAATGTGATAGAGAGACTGAGTCAGCCCTATGACAGCCAAGGTCCTAATTCCTGCAGGAAGGGTCCATGGTGGCCGCTTTCCTGTTGAATCCCTGCAATGCCACTCACAGCATGGAAGACGGGCTGAGTTGGTGGACGTGGGTAGGGAAGAGGGCTTCTGAGGTAGACAGACGTCCTGGGATGGTGGGCTGTTGTCTGATGCCTTGGACCTGTCCATCATCCCTCTCAGCCTGGGACTCTGGCTGCTTTGTCTGAGAGGGTGCTGGTGAGACAGAGAAAAGCTTAGAAAAAAGAATCATTATTATTGTTTTTATTTTTTCCTTTTGGGGGGTCCCCAAGGTGAGAGAGGGGATCCTGGAACCAGGAAAGTTTGGGTTGCACCTATTGGAAGCAGGTCCGACCTGTCCAGATGGATTCAAGCTGGTTCCAGAGCTTGCTGATCTGTCCAGGTGGATTTTCTGGAACTTGGAAAAAATTTTAAACACATTAAAAAGCAGCCATGGGGGGGCTAGAGAGATGGCTCAGAGGTTAAGAGCACTGACTGCTCTTCCAGAGGTCCTGAGTTCAATCCCCAGCAACCACATGGTGGCTCACAACCATCTGTAATGAGATCTGGTGCCCTCCTCTGTATACATAATAAAAATAAAAAACCTTGGCGCCTGCACACGAGCCCGCGCGCCCTCTAGGACTTACCCAGAAGGCGCCGTGCGCTCTTGGGTCAGAATGCCGGCCGGCCTCACGGGTTAATGTGAGATCATACAGCATCTGAGACTGAAGATGTGAACGAAGCCATAAGAAGGCTTCCTGACCTTCTAAACAGCAGACTGTTTAGCATTGAGAGAGCCCTGGACCCAACTGAGGCATCAGATTTTGCCTAAGGAGCAGTGGACAAAATA